CCATGAGGAATGCTGCTGACCTCAAGGCCAAGATGAAGACTGCGATGGAAAAGACCCTTTGCTCACATTTGTACGCGCCAACGGAAACTCCGGTCAAGTTCGCACCCACTGTTTTCATGAACCTTCACCTATACAAATAATATGCCAAAAGGTGTGTTACATGCATCAACCGAGCTCTGAATGTATCTTCCATCAGTGATCAGTCAAAGATGGGTCTTCCATAAACTCCCATGGCCCTGATTCAGCGCCCTATCTCAGGGCATCCGCGCTGGCATCTGGAGAAGCTGCTGGGAAGCGTCCAACCTGCACATAAATACAAGGTTAACTGTGAGTGGTGCAGTAATGCATTTGCAATATTTATTTCTGGGATCAAGTCAAGGTCCTTGGAGAAAGGACTAAAGAAGAAGTTCAAAGATGCAGCTGAGAAAGAGGGATCGTGAGACTCATGAGATTGATCTGTAGTCTCGGATTTTGAAGCCCTTGTGTTACAGCAACACTTGGTGCACACCATGCGCATTATTGCGGAGTCACTCTTGCAGGGTGGTCATGGCAAGTTGAGGAAAACGATCTCATTTGAGCTGTGTGACCCAATCGAGATGGGGTTCAATACATGTCTTCTTTTCGCTTTTGTTGTGGGGCTGTCTGGTGTACAACTCAATATGATTTGGACAGAGATGGTGAGCACTTCTTGGCCTTTGTCTTCTAATTCACTTCCCGCACAAATGACCCATCCACCGTGCAGCTGTCCCCAGCCCCTTCTGGCCTTACTGGTGTCCCATGCCATTTGCGGGCCAGGTCAAGAACCTGAGTTGCGTGGGTTTGCCCGAATGGTCGGGCGTGGCGCCTGATCCTCAGGCCTTATAAAAAATAGAGAGACCCATATACATATAGGAGGTTAGGGGCAACCACGGGTGGAAAGCCAAACATGTTTTTAGCTATACATGTATGTGCTGAATCTGTACTCTCAATTGTGGGCGGCATGCTGCAGCCAATTTTTGGGGGTCAAGCAACCGGCAAATGTTTGATCAAACTGGGTCCGGTTGTGTCTCTCATGGCAGCTGGTTCCACGGGTTTCTGCGTTTATGAAGAAGAACTTCGAGACTTGTTGACTTATGACTGCCCTGTCACCGGAAGAAAGCGGTGTCCTCCTTATAGTGATGAATGGATGGGGATCAACAAAACCCGCAAGACTCTCAGATGCACAAAGCAGTGCTTGCCAAACATAAGCTTTAAAACAGTTCGCTGCCATGCGTGCATTTTTTTAGTGGAGACTTTGGATGTGTCATCTGTCTCTAGGTGTGCCTCTCACCAAGATGAAGCTGTTGTCCATGCTCCATGTCTCGATCACAAGAACCTTTTTGCACATATGGGGCACCTGTTTTACTTGTGACCTGTTGTTCATTGGAACCGGTTTTACTTGAGGTATCAATACCGATGCAAAAATATGTACGTCAGGTGAATGGGGGCCAAACTGCAATGAGACAACCCTTGCGTGAGCTGAGCCTTCAAGTTCACCAACCATGCCTGAAGCCAACTGCTGATTTGAACCTGCTAGAACAGGTCTGCCACGACTATGGCATCAGTGTTTCGTACCCGGATTCCTCGAAGCGGCTCAAAGCCACGGCGGGTACAATTTTACAAAGTTGCGCTAGTCGTGTCTCCCAATTCCGAAACAAGATGAACCGGGACCTTTGTGTGTACAAGTTGGGTATCACAGCGTATCCCCCTGTCAGGTTTCTTTTCTACAAGGAGGCCAACTATACTCACATGACTTTGCTCCATGTGACAGAGAATCTGGGGGTAGCGCAAATGCTCGAGGCATCCCTGATATCATCCAATTTGGGTCAACTGGGGTGTCGCAATGAGCGGCTTGGGGGTGAAGGCCCTCCAAATTCAGAAAATGAAAGGTACCACTTTGTTTACATCGTGGGTGCCCGTGCAGATTGCATGAAGCCAATTGGATGAGGACTTATATAGAGCTGCCTCTCTGTAATTCGAAAACTATATTCCTTGGAGATCCCCAAGTGCGTCTGTATTCAAAAAAGATACTGTATCGGATCGTGATCAGCTGGAGAGTATGCAAACCCTATATATGACACCATTAATTCACAATGGTGTTCTTGTTTGATTGTTTCGCGCGCTGAACTTTTTGTGGGTTTCTGCCACATCTCTCTATATATATATCGATATATATATATATAGAGGAATAACCATTATACTGGATATATCTATATATATAGACATATGTTTCTCTGTGCTTGTCTACCTTTAGAAAACTTAAGCCGGTATATCTATACATCCATCGATCGTACTCGTTCCGAGGTCTCATGCCGAGACGCCATCCGCCAGGCGAGGGTGACCCGAGTGAAGTCGAAGGGTCTTCAAGCGCTTCGAGATGTGAATCTAAAGCATAGTGAGAATGGCGCGCACCGAGTCTTTCGGACATTTGGACAATCCCTGCCGGTGAAGATAAGCAAGACAGATGTGGAGAGCATGAAGGACTTTCCATATGTGAGATTTTCCTCCTGGATGAAATACTTAATCGAGGAGGACTACATGGAGCATTTGGTGGGCGTTTCAGATTTGGCAGAAATGAAGAAGACCCTCACACTGTTTTGGAAGCGCTACCAAATGTCAAACCCAAACCACAGAATGTTCCACAGCGACACTGGAGCAGCCTGCCATCCCGAGGTCACGATCCCGATTCTCCACCACGGGGACGAGGGGCGATCCCACAAGAAGAAGCAAATCATGATACTGAGCTTGGTAGGCATTCTAGGCCGCGGAACTTCCCGATGCAACCGCTCCACTGATGAAGGGTCGGCAATGGACGAGTCATCACCGTTGCATCTGAGTATGCTGGGGGACAGTCTGCAGAACCACTTTTTGTTTGCGGCTCTTCCCATCAAGCTGTACAACCAAACTGATTCCTTATACCAGGTCCTTTCATTGATGGGCGATGAGATGGACGCGCTGTTCAACCAAGGGGTTCTCATTGGTCAGCAAAGATACTTTGTAGCGATGCTGGGAGTCAAAGGTGATTCCCCGTATTTGGCGAAGTCGGGTCGGTTTGAGCGTACGTTTTGTCGAAGACCCACAAAGCATATCAGCCAAAGTCTGTGCATCGGAATATGCCACCGCTGCCTAGCTGGCAGAGAAGGCTGGGTAGTGGACCTACCGTATGAGGAATTTGGCGCAGAGTTTCCTACTTGGTCAATCACAGAGGCTCTAGAGAAGCCACATGTAGTTCCTTCACCACTCCTTCGGGTCCCTTTCCTGAAAGAGGATGCTGACGACGGCGATTTGTCATTCTGGCAGTTCGACCTGTTTCATAACATACATCTTGGAATGGGAAAGAATTTCATTTCCAGTGCTGTATGTATATGCATTGAACTCTTGGACGGTAGCTTGGAGCGTGCCTTCCAAAGCTTGACACTGGATTTCCAGTAGTACTGTCGCAGCAACCACGAAAGCCCATACCACAAAAAGCTTTCTCCATCCCTCTTTGGTGTGGACAGCGGGTTCAACCAGACTCCAGAAGCAGGGTGGAGCAAGGGAGACTTCACAAGGTTGGTCCTGAAGTGGTTTGAAGACTATGCCAAGAGGGAGGTCCTCGGCAAAACTCAAGATCCCATTTGTCTTGCTTGCGTTGCTCTCTTTAATGTTGAAGCATTTTGTTGTGTTTTTACATTCCTGTTCATCCAGTCCAGGAGTTGTAAATGCACAATCGCCTGAAAATCTGACTCGGTCCCTGAATGCGCGTGCCAAGGTTGAAGCGACACAGGCCATCAATGAGTGCCTCTCAGGGCTTTACAGCGAGGGATTGTTTCTGAAGGCTGAGCGAGCTGAATTTTTAGCCCGGCGGGGCTTGAAATTTTTAGAGAAGTATTCCCAGTTGGCATTGATGTGCTTCAGGGTTGGTAAGCGGCGATTCCCTTTGATCCCTAAGGGACATTACTGCCATCATCAATTCCTTGACCTTCTTCGGGAGTCAAGGAAAGGCCAGTGGTGTCTTAACACCTTGGCGTACTCAAACCAAATGGCTGAGGACTTCGTGGGGAAGTCCTCACGAGTTTCAAGGCGAGTTTCACCACGGACTACCTCGCTCCGAGTAATTCAGAGACTTTTCCTTTTGATGAGGGATGCAAATTCATCACTTTATGCAGGTGGCAAGGTTGAGATTTAAGGCTGATGCGCTTGACGCTCTGGGTTGTCACTTCCCTTTCACTCATATATATACTCAAACAATCTCAAATACATATGGATATATCATTGTTGTTTATACAAATGGTCGAGATGAGTAGCTGCTGATCACGATGTTGCATATGCATATTTATATGTATATGCACGTTTTATTGTTTTTGCAGTGGTAATATGTTCAGGTATGAATTAGCGGTGTTGTAATACCAATTGAAAGATAGCCCAGGATGTCTCAGGCCGAGGCTCTTCTCTGTGCATCTTCAGCTTGCGGGTCACCGCGTTGAGCCGACGGAGAGTGTGGCAGGGAAAGGGAGAACTGGGTGGGAGGAGTGAGGTGCTTGGTGTGTAAGGGACCTTTATAACCCCAATGCTGACTGGACCTTGCAAACAGTCATGATTGAAAACCGGGTTTCTATGCATCACCATTCCACGACCCAAAAAAACATGGTTGCAACATAAAACCTTTCTTTTTCATGGTTTCCTGTGCTCCTGGATGTTAGTGAGTCGGAGTATACAGTACAGGACGCCAAATGACACCAGTAGTACATCAACACACGAGCCAATGCAGCAAATCAATCAATCCAGGTGGCTGAGCAACATAGCCAGCCTGAAAACCCGAATCAAAGCATTGCTTTGTCACTGTCATCCTCCAGATCCTACCCTTTAAACCAATCCCTTTCCAGCAAACCACTCAGGAACAATGGTTTAAAGCGAGGAAATGCGAGGAACACTCTTATTCCATTGGACCTTTCCTTCCCTTCCTTCACTCCTCCCCTTCGAGACATCGAAGTGTTCCTCACCTGCATGAGCTTCTGCACGGTTTCAAGCTCAATGGTGCGTAGCAAGCGCATGCAAGCTAAGAACCTCAGGGAGAACCACATCGGGGCTGGACAAACTTCAAAAGGAGAACGACCGCAAACCGCATGAGCTTCTGTGTCGCACCACTTGCAAAACACCCCCCCACACCGTAGGTGAAAGGACTTTTCTTGAAACCTGATGAGAAGTAGGTTCAGAACGCATCGGAGTAGGGATGGGCATCCTCAAACCCACACCTCGCCAACCCAAACGCTTCAAAAAGCCATTGGTCACTCAAAACCTAGGGATTTGAGACCCCATACCCCAGACCCCTCCATACGAGGGTCTGATCCCTCTATATGAGGGTCCAGCGTCTGGAAGAACACAAACCCAGTTTTTCTGCTGATTCTCTACCCAGGTGACGAAGTTCACCTGGCAAACATCACCGCCTCTTGAGGAATGTGTGGCAACCGCCCATTAAATGCTTGGCAACTTAAAAGGATCAAACTACAAACGCAAAACAGCGGGAAACACATCCGGCGTCTCAGTGGACTCCTTGTCACCCCGGACGACTTGCGGACTGACGAACCAACAAATCATCCGAAAGTTGTTGGATTCTAAGCATGACACGTTGGCTTTTCGATCTGGGCTGTGTGTAGTTGTCGCAAGGTCCTGGGGTCCCTGTGATTCTCTCCATGATGAGTCGGCGCACCACACCCTGCGCCAGCAACACCCCTCAGCCAGCAAAACCTCTCGCACACGCACAGGTCTTCTTTTTGCGCATGGTCCGGGGAGTGTGGCCTCAGTGGACTGAAAGAAGAGAAAAAAGGGCCTGGGGCGAGTAGAAGAGTACCCATAGATGGCCTGGGGCGAGTAGAGCAATTGTGAGATATTTCACAACAGGTCCACAAAAACTCTCCATGGCCAGCGGAGTTTTGGGTTGGCTGGCTCCAGCGTTCGTGGGGAATCAGCTTGCATTGACCCAAGGCCTGTGCAACCATCGTGCCTGACTCAGTCAGCTAGCCCCAAGGTCCAAGTTTGAACAGCATAGCCAGGCATGCAACTGCGGATCTCGGATGCTCATGGTCTGTAGACTGCCACTCGCAGTTCTGATCCCAAACAAAAATGCCGAACAGAGTCAGAGTGCACGACGTGTTCCAGCACAAATCTCAACTCTGCTTCCAATTTCCGGTCAACTCGGCAAAAAATTGCGTTTCATCTTGCGAAGAACATGTGGATACTGCGACTGATAACCTGATTGCCCTTAACCGGCCCCAAACCCAACATGTTGGACTACGAACCACCCAGACGATTGCCTTCGCAACTGAATTGAAGACGTCATTTGGATGCTGCAGTTCACCACCAACTGGTCCCGGCGAACATTCTTCCTAGGTGTAATCCGCTTTCCCCATGTTCCCCCCCGTCAATAGGAGGGCACAATCCCTTAGAACCTCCCAACCCAAAGTGGAACCTGAGCATCGCCGTGAGTGCTTGAGGTTGCTTTTTCCAAATGGACTTGGATCCTTCGCACTTCCACAGTGCGGCCCCCTGCATCCTGCCTGGCCGAGAGGCTCCGAACCGTCGAAGGCGCCGAGGCCGTCGAGGAGGACTTCGCCCGACTCCACCTGGCACGACCACCCACACCGGTCGTCCCAGAGGGAGGGAAGTCGGGGCCGGTCAGGGCCGTTTATGCGTTTGGAAGGTTAAGACGACCGCTGCAGACTTCAAGTCTCCGCTTCAGCGGGTTGGACTGCTCAGTTCGGTCCCATGGTCTCCCCGAATCCCAGGAGTGAAAGAACAACTCATTGTCATTTCTTATAGACAAAAAGAGTCAAGGCGTCTAACTATCTCGAATTCACCAAACTTTAACTTGATAATGTATATACATATATATGTATGGAGACAAGCTGGAGTCAGCACAACAACCTTCACACTGAGATCGGACAAATAACACACAGAAAAAAAAATATTTGAAAGACCAAAAAGCCCCAGCCACTTAGATAGTATAATTACTCTTTTGATGCCTTCATCCAGGAATCCATGGGTCCATGAGCATATATATATATAATAAGCATATATATATATAATATGTTTTTTTCTGATTGTTTACTGTGACCTTTGAAACCTGCCTCGTGGGCCAACCCGGTAACCCCGGGTGCTGGACTTGTCCCATCTCCACCTGTTGGTTCTCCACCACAGGGCTCCTGGCCAGCAGCTTCCGTGCCTCTCGCACCCGTGAATGCCAGGACTCCTGGACGCAGCATGCAGCCACACCAGGAGCCAGCAGGACCCTAGAAAGATTGGGACATGACCCTATACATGTTTTCTTTCATATGTTTTCTATAAGGTACTTTGGAGGGTCCAGGTAGTCTCCCAAGTGGCGGGATGCGAACGAAGCAGTGGTAGTGACCGTCTTTTGGGGTGGCCTGGTGAGATCAACACGGACCGGTCCGCTTGAGTCCGCTCAAGAACAAGCAGGGAACCATGAAGGGCACATAGTTGTGGTCTAACTAGGCTAAACCCACAGGCCAGGTCAACGAAACACTAAGCGATTCTGCCAAGTTTGGAGCCCTTGCCTGGACCCTTGTGGCGGGTGAGATTGGCATAGATTGGCACTGGTCTACACTGTATTTGCTCTCCAGGCAGCCGGGAAATATAAAGCATTGAACGCATTCCCCAGTTACGTGGATTCACCCACAGTGACCCAACAAAAACCACCTTAAGCAAAAACATGTAAACCCTCCAAATGTGTCTCCGATTGGGACTGGCCCTCTTTACACCCACCCCAGTCCCACCTTCGAACAAAGGTAGCTGAAGCTCAAGGGAAAGGCGTGGTGTTCTGTTAGCCCGGCCACACTACTTCTGAGAAGGTGTTTGGGGTTGGTTTGGAGGGTCCAAATACCTTCTCAAGAGATACTTGGAGGCCGGGCCTAGTATAACAAATACAGCAGGAGCCGCTGTCCTCCACGCTGGTGCAGTACTCCAAGCCTGTGCACACAGCAAGGATGAAGGCCTTTCCCCGATCCAAACCACGAGATTGGCAAGGATCTTTGGGCTCACCACCAAATCTCACGGTGATTAACTATCAGAATTGTGGCAGCTGTGTAGCAATTGCAATGCTCCCATCTTGACGTGGAGAAGGTTTCTTCTCGCTTCGAGCAGCCCTTCTCCCCACGATTGACAGTCTGCCATGACCGCTTCGAGCACTTGAGCTATGGCATTGCTATGGCCTCCCACCTGGTCAAAGAATACCAGGTTGGGATCCAAATTGACATCACTGAGGCCGAGTCATGAATACTATATAACTATAGTTCTAATTAGAGGCTTGGGCACACTAACCCTTGCATCCATGTCTTGATCCTAGTCACGTCATTGGAACCTCCGAAGCGGATCCACCAAGACCCGGTGTCGCAGGGGGTCATCCACCTGCGGATTCGGCTTCCCCATTCCGCTCGTCCCCCCCACAACAACAACAACAACAACAACAACTTGGATTTGCTTCCAAAGCCGGAACAAAAACCAACAAACCATCATCTTCCTGGAGTCTGGAGTCTCATACCCTTACAGCATGAAAACACGTATCTGTTCCTTAGATTCTGGACATGTCCCATTTTTCAAGAGTACTTCAAGTCGGGTCCTTGTTCTCCAATGCGAAGAGGACTCCAAACCTGGAACAGCTAGGCTCTACATGTGTTTTTTTTCACCCGGACGTTGCACCCTACGCACTCCACTCCGACTTCACCGGTCCGCCGTCCGGCGCCTTCGAGCACCTCCATCGTCCGCCGCAGCAGCCGGAAGACGTCGCCCTCGCCCAGGCGTCCCGCAGAGTCGACCAATGGACGCCAGGCACAAGTGGTGGAGGCCCAGCGGCGGACAAGGCGAAAGGCGTCCAAGGAGAGGGGCAAGGGTTCCTGGGCGGTTGGCCCATGTGGATTTGGGAGAGATGTTGGGATGTGACGTGCTTTTCGATCGTTTTTGAGCATTTGGGGTGTGATGTTTAACAAGTTACATTAAGTATATGCATGGTTTACGCGCATGGGACTCTATATAAACCAGCAGGAGCTTTACGTCAAACAGCGGGCACTCTGATCTGTTTTAGGCCCTGAGTGTCCATCAAGAAAAACATGTTGATGCAAATGCACTGATACCATTTTCCCGCTTTTGCAGCAAACCACATTTTTCCATTTCCAAGCATTACTTTATTGAAGAAAGTGGAGGTCCTTAATTTCTATGTTCATTTCATTAGGGAATGTTCCACATTATATAAATCTCTTATTGTATTTTATCTTTTTGCTCCTTAAGGAAACATTTTCCTAAAATCCACCAACTATAAAATATGTGTGCTAGTGGATGACCCCAAAAGCATAGTATAAATTTATAAACTAAATGCTGTTGCGCACATGTGTTTATGATCTAAATGAATAACCGACCTCCCACAAACAAATAAGACTGGAGGGACCACCGCGGTTCCACGAATATCGGGGGTGCATCTACCCCTCTAGAGCTTAAAGTATTGTTTTTACTAGTGGTTTCTGCACTCTGTGTACATGTTTCTTTAAGGATGGGTTTGTTCAAGTTAATCGTACACATGTGATATTTTTGTTGCTTTCACAAGTCAAGGTTAAGACATGTCGGAAAAGCTTAGTCATCCAACGTTGCAATCAACCCCACAACACTGAGCAGTTTTTGAAATGAGCAACGTCATGTAGTTCACAGTCAAACTGCAGGTGATTTCGATGAATTGCTTCAATCTCACGTTCGTAAACACAGGATTTGAACTACCAGGAGTCATCTCTTGGAAGTTCTTTTCACGTGCTCAATTCATCTCATCCTTCACGGTCTTCCGCCCCTCACCCGCGCCCCTCGGACAATCGGACGATCGGACGAGATATCGGTCGGAACAATCTCTGACGGTTTTCCCCGTCGGCCGTGCCATGCAACAAATCTGGCTTCCCAAGTCGTCTGTGTCCGTGGTGAAACTTTGGTTCTGGGAAGGAGTGTTTTAGTGTGAAAGGGTAGGACTTTGGCTCAATCCTTACCAGTGGTGAGGCCATTCGTTCGGATCGTCC